GATGGACTTGAAAAATGGGTGATGCCACAGTCAAAGCCAACTGAGATGGAGCAGACTGTGGCATGGCAATCGATACTCTCTGAAAGGAATAGGAATATTGTTACTAATTAAATTGTAGTCAGAGCCAATGCTAATGAGGAAAATGAGATAGAGCAGGCAAAGTGCTTATTATATGCCCTGACACACAGCAGGTATTAAACGAATATTTGTCACTGTAATTTTTTTCATTGGCCCAATAGTTGATAAGAAACATGAAAAATATTGGGAGATAGAAAGAACTTGGAGGCCATTCATCTACTCAGTACATATTTACTGAATATTTCCTAAGTGCCAGGTACTATCTTTGCAAGTGGAGAAGGCACAGGTGGTAGCTATACAGTCTATAAAGATGTCTTTGAAAAGTTCATCAAGATGAACAAAAGTTCATCAAGATGAACTTTTCATTAATGGAACACAAGGTGTATAGAACTAACTATCCTAAATGATTCTGAAAGTGATGCCTGATAGACTGAAAAAACAGTACTTTTAACAGAGTTACGGGCTTAGGGGACAAAAGTTAGAGTCAGGACCTGCCAATGAGGAACAGCCCCGGTGAACTCTCAGGCCTTTAGTTGGGATCTTAAATGGCCACAGAGTTTGGTGGAACCACTAAAAGAACAGCCCCAAGAGAGATTGAATCAATCCTAGTTTCCAATTTTTTTTTGATCACCAAATGAATTAAAGTAATCAAGTACACTTGACTACTCAGAAGTATTATGGTATACAGAGCCTCAAGTGAGCTCTACATTTTTCATATTCAATATCTGGCACTCAAGCAAAAATAACCAATCCTGTGAGAAGATAAGACAATGTGATCTAAACCTAAGAGAAATGGCAGACACACAGGGAAACCAAGTAATGGAATTATCAGACACGGACTCTATAGTAACTGTGTTTAATTTGGTCAAGAAATTTAAACATAAGCTTGAGAAATTCAACAATGTATATAAACTATAAAAAAGAACAAATAAAAATTATAGGATTGAAAACTGTAATAACTAAAACTAAGGAACAAACTTATGAGCTTAATAGATAAAATAGTGAATTGGAAAACAGGTCAGAACAAAACATCCCACCAAAACACACACACACAAAATAATTGAAAATAAGAGATATAGGAAGTATGGTTTTTCAAAAAAGACTAAATGCAGGGCTGGGCCCATGGCCTAGTAGTTAAGTTCGGCACGTTCCACCTCAGCAGCCCAGGTTTAGTCCCCGGGTGTGGATCTACACCACTGGCCAGAGGCCATGCTGTGGCAGTGACCCACATACAAAATAGAGGAAGACTGGCACAGATGTTAGCTCAGGGACACTCTTCCTCAAGCAAAAGAATTAATTAATTAATTTGTTAATTAACTAGTTAATTAACTAGTTAATTAACGAATTAATTTATCCTTTTGGAATCCCAAAAGAAGATGAAAAAGAAAATAAGGTAAAAGCAATGTTGGAAGAACTAATGACTGAGAAAATAATAATGATGGGGGAAAAAAGGACAACAAGCCACAATTTCAAAAAGCACATGCGGAATAGATGAGAAATCCATAATTCCATAAGTCAAAACTCACCATAGTAAAACTACTAAAATCCAAAGACAAGGAAAGAATTTTAAAAGTATTCAGAAAAAAAGACCTATTACCTTGAAAAGAACAAAAGAGCTCTTTTCAAAATCATAAGAGAGATGATCCTGTTCATATCTCATGAGAAATAATGGAATCCATAAGACAATGGCATAGTATGTTCAAAGAACTGAAAGAAAATAAACTCCAACCCATCAAAAATATCTTACAAAAATTAAGATGAAATAAAGGCTTTTTCAGACAAACAAAATGAGATAATTCATAATAAGAAAATTCATACTAAGGGAATTTTTGATGGATATTGGTTAGACAGAATAAATTATTCCAGACAGATGCTCAAAGATACAGGATGGAATGAAGAGCAAGGCAAAGGTTAGATATGTGAATAAATGTAAAAGAATATTGACCGAGAATAATAATAATGTCTTACGGTGTCCAAAATATACAAATCTATAACTATAATAGCAAGTAAGCCAAAAGATTGTTAGAGTTAAAGAATTCTAAGATTCTTACTTTGTTTAAGTGTTAAAAGTACTAATTTGTATTAGACTTTAATAAGTCAAAGATAAATGTTATGTCTAAAGCAACCAGTAAGATAATTGTTTAAAATGCATACTATTAAGTTAACAGAAGAAAAATAATAAATAAATAATTAATTCAAAATAAGGGAAAAAAAGAAAGGAAAGAATTTAGAACAGGCATGATAAATAGAAAATGGAAAATAAACCTAAAAATATCAATAATCACATTAAATACAAATTGACTAAATGCTCCAAGTGAAGAATAAAAACTGACAGCCTAAAATTTTTTAAATCCAAATATATGCTACTTATAAAGGACATATCCTAAAATGTAAAAATACAAAGAGGTTGAAAGTAAAAGATAGAGAAAAAGATTCAGCACGCAGGCACCTACCACAAGAAAACTAACATAGCTGTATTAGTACCAAAGAAACGTAAACTTTACGGCAAAAAGCCTTGAGATGTAAAGATGAGTGCTTTATTATACCAAAAGATTCGATTCAACAACAAGACAAGAATTTTAGATATTTTTGTAACTAATAATATAATCTCAAAAATATAATACAAACATTGATAGACTCAAAAGAAGAAACAGAAAAAATGCACAGTCACCCTGGGTTATTTTAACATATTTTTCTAAGTAACGCAAAGAAAAAGGGGAGGGGGGTAGATATGTAGACTTGAATAATACAACTAACAAATGCATATTGCAATATTTACATTCTTTTGAATATATGTGGGGCATTTATAAAAGTTGAACATATGCTGGGCTTTATGGCCAAATATCAAAGTATTTAAATCATATAGAGTGTATTCTTTGTCACAGTGCAATTAAGCTTAATGTCACACAGAGAAAAGTAACAAAAAAAAAACTATTATATTTGCAAACTAAGCAATCCTTCAAAATAATCCAGAGTTCAAAGAAGAAATAACATCAGAAATCAGAAAATATTTTGAACTGAATGATGAGAATATACATATCAAAACCTATAGAAAGCAACTAAAACTGATACAGGGAAATTATAACTTTAAATGCATATACTGGAAAGGAAGAAAGGCTTATAATTAATGATCAAAGAATCCATCTCATAACGTTAGTAACATAACAGCAGATTAAAACCGAGGAAAACAAACTAGATGAGAGCAGAAATTAATGAAACAGAAAACAAACTAATGAAAGACAGGATTAACAAAGCCAGCATTTGAAAAGACGGATCCAGTTGATAAACCCCTGGCAAGAGTAATCAACAAAAAAAGAGAGAAAATGGAAATATACGACACCAGAAGTAAAAGAGGAAACATCACTACAAATCCCACCAACATTAAAAAGATAAGAGAATATTTTGAACAACTTTATCTCAATAATTTAAAAATTATATAGATCAAATGGAGATTTCTAAACACGCACAATGTGCTAAATCTGCCACAAGAAGAAATAGGGAATCCAAGTAATCCTATAATTATTAAGGACATTGAATCTTTAATTTGAAAACCTTCCCTCAACGTAAGTTCCAGTCTCAGATAACTTCACTACTAAACTCTAAAAGCATGTAAAGGAAGAAATAAAACAAATCTTAAACATTTCTAGAAAAAAGAAAAGTATTACTTTGCAAGTTATTTTATAAGGTCAGCATATCCTTCATGTAAAGGAGGAAACAAAACAAATCTTACACATTTCTAGAAAAAAGAAAAGTATTACTTTGCATTTTATAAGGTCAGCATATCCTTCATACCAAAATCGGACAAGGACAAAGCAAGAAACAAAAATTACAGACTAATCTCTCATGATACAGTTGAAAAAAATCCTAGACAAAACATTAGCAAACCAAATCTGGCGATATATAAAAAGGGTTACACATCAATGCGGTTTATTCCAGGAATGCAAAGTTGGTGTAACATTCAAAAATCAATCCTTGTTATTCATAACATTAACAGAATTAAAAAGAAAAGTCTTATGGTAAGTAAAAAATGAATTTGATAATATTTAACATCAATTCATATCAAAAATCCAAGCAAACTAGGGAAACTTCCTTAATCTGATAAAAGTCATTTATTAAAATTCTAGGGGGCCAGCCCCATTGCATAGCAGTTAAGTTCTCGAGCTCTGCTTGGGGGCAGCCCTGGGTTTGCTAGTTCGGATCCTGGGCTCGGACCTACACACCGCTCATCAAGCCATGCTGAGGCAGTCCCACACAGAGCAACTAGAAGGATGTACAACTAGCCTATGCTCCTCTATGCCAAAGACTATGTCTTGTATGTTATCATCTGCCAGTATAATCAAGAAAAGAGAACGTTTGAGGGTGAAAACACAAGGTGCAGAAAGATGAGTATAGGTGCCCTGTTTGCATAAACAAGGAAGGGCTAGGATACAGTTTTGTTTGCTTGTATAGCATATGCAAGGATAGGGCAAAGTATGCAAGGAACCAATAATGGTAGCCACACGTTAGGGAAGGTGTGATGGGTCCAGGGCAAATCCGGATCAGGAGTGCAAGGAGACTTTCCGGGGGTGACTTCTTATGCTTTGTGACTATTGGGTCATGTGCATGTACTACCCATTCAAACAAACAAACTAATTAATTAATCTGTTAGAAAAAGAGAATAACCAAGGATAGTCTGAAATATAAAGATAATTGGGGGGAGGTGGTGGATACAAATAATAAAATATTACAAAGCTATCATAATCATAAATTAAAAATAAATAATTAGCAAGGCAAAATTATCAATAGCAATTAGCTAACAAATCTATCTTAGGTACACAAATCTCTTTACCAACTCTGCCTTAAAAGATACAACTTAAACTACAAAAACAAGTGGGTTTTAAAGAAAAGGAAGATAAATATCAGTAGGAAAATTATTTTTTTACCTTGTACCACTTTATTGAATCCAAAACACAACTCTTCGGGAAGTTCAGATGACATGTAAGACTGTCATCTTTTCCAACATGTAATATCTGTTGGTACTCGTCTAATGAATACGGTCGACTGTTTCTGGAAGCACCGCACCAATATTTTTTAAACACAGTGAGGTTTACGTGTATTCTGTGACAGGTGTCTGTATTGCTGTAAGAAAACGGCAGATTGAAACCTCATAAACAATAACAAAATCAAACGATTCCGTACATATTCCAATATTTCCAAACCATTTTTAAGGTACTATGCAAACTCTCTGCCTCAAACAAGACAATATGCATCTCAGAAACCATTCATTAGAAAAGGAAAAAATATTTATATAGTAGAAACACTGGACAACATCTTAATGAAGTGATCAAAATGCACACCAAGGAGGGGCAAATAGACGCCATGCACCGCTGAGAGTGTTGTCTGACGAGGACACACACCACTTATGTAGTATTCCAGCTATGAAGGGTCAGCCTGAGCCTACCCATGAAGAAATACTGGCAAATTCAAATTAAGGGACAGAATATAAAATATTGCCCGTACTCCTCAAAAATGTCAATGTCATGAAAAACAGACCAAGAACCTGTTCCAGATGAAAAGAGATTAAAAACGCATGACATGGGCCGGCCCATGGGGCAGCGGTTATGTGCGCGCTCTCCGCTGCAGCAGCCTGGGTTTGCAGGTTTGGATCCTAGGCACACACCGACACACCGCTTGTCAAGCCATGCTGTGGTGGCATCCCATATAAAGTAGAGAAAGATGGGCACGGATGGCAGCCCAGGGCCAGTCTTCCTCAGCAAAAAGAGGAGGATTGGCGACAGATGTTAACTCAGGGCTAATCTTCCTCACACACACACAAAAAAAACGCATGACAACCAAATGCAGTGCATGATCTTGGATTGGATCTTGTACGGGAAAGGGAAAAAAAAAAGTATAAAGGTCATCATTGAGATGATTGATAAAATTAGAATATGGATTGTTAGAATATGGATTATGTATTAGATCAAAGCATTGTGTGACAGTTAAATTTCCTGAATGTGATAATTATACTGTGATTATGTAATAGAATCTTCTTGCCGATAGGAAATGCACACTGAAATATTAAGGGGTAAAGGGACATGATGCATACAATCAAGTAATTTGGAAAAAATTGTTTAGAAAAAAATATTGTGTAATATACATACACGTGGAGAGAGAGAAAGAATGCTAACGTAAATGTGGCAAAGTGTTAAGTAATAGGGAATCTAGATAAAGGGTAGATGGGAGTTCTTTACACTATTCTTGCAAATTTTATGTGAATTTGAAATTATTTCAAAGTAAAAATACACAGTTTGACTAAATATGTATCATATCTGTATGTTAAAGATTTGTGAGAATTCATGTTCATTTTCTTCCATGACAGACAATCTATGTCTACTTTCTATGAAAGGTTATTTTACCCCATTTCATAGCTCCCAGAGTTAAATATTTTAAATCCAGCCTAGACGTGCAGACGAATGTGTGTGACATACGATCTCCACCTCTAGTTAATTCATAATTAGAGTCAACGGGAGAGTAGGCCTCCACGGACGTCCAAAGCTTCATCTACATGGTGAGCGAAACTGTGGAAAGGGCAGGCAGACAGAGCTAATGGCCACTTTCACTTGTGATCCCCTGAGTAATTTTGTACCTTGAGTCAATCTGACAGACAGAAAAGTGGACTCTGCCAGGGGCCATGGTGGGACACAGAAAGGGACCGGAAAATACGACGGCAACAAAACAAGAGAGAGAGAAGGCAACTACATCTCTGGACCTACGTCATACAGGATCTCAGCTAACCTTCACTGCAACCCTCCCAGGCCGGTATGACTCCCATTTTACAGCTAAGAAAACCAAGGCTCAAATAATTTAAGATCATGCACGTTAGTAATGGAGGGTAACAAAATTGGGTCCACAGATGTGTTTTATTTAGGCCATACACATAAAGCTTATTGAAAAGTCACACACACACACATTCTAATTTCCAGGTTTGCTTGAAAAATTGGCAAAACAGACTTGAGCCGAATAGACTGCTGCCTTTGGTGGGTCATGTGCTTTCTGTTCACCACAGTCCCCACCAGGCTCAATTGTCTCCCACCAGACCTGCGTCACTCATTTCCATTACTTCCTAGCATAGGGCTTAGCATGGGGTCTGGAACACACTCGATTCTCGGTCACTGTTCAATTCCTACAGCAGATTCCTTACGAAAAGGTGCCCGAAGGAGGCTTATTGCTATCTGCATGTGCCACCCGTCACAAAACTTTTGGCATTCCAAGAAAGAAGGCAGCAATAATGTTGGGATAAACAGGTTTCATAAGCTGGTCTGGTTTGTGGCACCATTTCAATGAGAAAAGATGCATTTCCTTTTTCAACAACTGATTTACAAATCTGTTCTGTTTTAAAATGTGTTCACTGGAAACTGTCTTGTGACAATATAAAACTATAGTTTATTCTTCTCATTAAGTTTTCTGTGTTTATTAAGGATTTATTAAGAATGTCCCTAAAAGAATTATGTATAATTATACTATACTATATATGTACATATACATGAAAAAAAAGAGAGTTACTTTTATTTTAAATGAGGAACTTACTTGATAACACACTGGTAGATCCCAGAGTCCTCCCACGCCAGGGGGAGAAACAAAATCCAGTTTTGGTCCTGGTGAATTCTAGACTGCGTGTTTTTAGATACTGGGATATTGCTAGGATATTTGTACCATGTTACATATACTTTCCCAGATGTTAGCGGAGGGTATGTGCAATTGAAAGCAAAAGGCTGGCCTACTGCAGGCGTCTCGTCTTGCACACTAATGATGTCGCATTCATCTAGGGAAAGAAAGGAAAAAATCACCGTGAGAGAGAACTCTAGGGTTCTTTATGATTAGTTTTAACAAATGCCTCTTTAATTTTCCAGCCAATTTGAAATTTTGAGAGTTTTCTCAGTGCGGGAGTTTCCTAAAAACAGCCTGCTGATTTGCAAGCATAACGGGAAGTCCTTCAAATGTGTCCACAGGACAGAAAGCACTCAGTGCCCCCTTCACAATCCCCTTCCCTGTTTGGAATGATCTTCTCTCCCCTCTATTCCAAGACCCTTAGTTCTTGCATCCTCCTCCTTCAGAGTAAACGTTCCAGTTCTGAGCCTTCCTCGTCCTGTTTTCTTTCTCCTCTGCCGCCCAGCTATGTCACTCCCTCTTGCATAAAAGGTATAAGTATCTCATCCCAAAAAGGATTGTTAAAAACTCTGCTCACTGTAAACTTCGCTTCTACCAAATTGCTTAGTTTTTCTTGGAAGACATTTGTTCTGCTGATGGTTTCTTTGCTTTTACCCTGGGTCATAAAATGACCCTTTGTCATATAAAATAGTATTATATCCATCTGAGCATTTTAACTCAAGTCTTGACTTGCGAAATTTGCCTAACTCCTCTCCCTCTCGAAGTCGCCTCAGAGCTCAGGATGTCCTCGGGGCTGGGCATCAGACACTTGGAACTGAAACTTGCCGTTTCCCCATTCTTCGGAACTCTGCCTGGCCCACCGGGAAAGTTCGATCAGCGCGGCTCAGGGTCTCACGTGATCCCCCAGGAGGTCGGCTCCGGGACCTCCCACAGCGCCGCAGAGGCACGTGGGGGAGGGCGGCCTCTGAGACCCGAGGACAAAGCGAACGTACCTGCTCTGATAACAGGTAGAAGAGCGATGGACACGCCGCAGAGCAGCAAGGACAGCATCCCCACGTCGGGCTACGAGGAGGAAAGAAGACGGTGGGAGGGGAGGGCGCACGGCCGGGCGGAGCGCGCCGTCTCCCGGGCGCAGGGCGCCGCCTTCTGCGGCCTCTGAATCTCAGAGATCCCGGCCTCGGCCACTGACCATCCCTTCTTCATGGAGAGCCCTCCAACTTTGGCCCCATATTTATCCGGACGTGCCCCCACAGACTGCTCCCTCCGCTACCCCGTTCTTACTCTCAGCGCCCGACCTCCAGAATCCAGGGTGGAGGGGGATGAGTGGGAGAGGTGGGAGGCGCGTTGGGGGAAGTCGGGGTAGGGTGGCTGCAGGAGTGAGGTCCCCTCCTCTGGGGACGCCGTGACATCCCCTTCTGCCATCTGACAGTGAGGCAGGGTCAGCGTCCTGAGCCCGGTGGGAGGGTCAGGGCCCGTTCCAAGCCCTTTGCCCCCCATCGCAGCCCACCTCAGCCCGCGCCCCAAGTCCCCGTCGTGGCGCCCCGGGTCCCCACCGTGCGCCGCGCGTAGCCGGCCCTGCGCGTCCTTGGCCACAGGATCCACCGGGGCCGGCAGTCTAAACGGAAACCCGCAACACGGGCCCCCTGGGGAGAAGCCAGCTCAGGCCTACCTGGCAAAGGTGGGCAGGAAAGAGGGGGGAGGACTGAGCGCCGCCGGACGGAGTCGGCTCTACACCTTCGCCCAGAGACGGAGTGCTCCCCCAGGGTCGCCCCGCCGGTCCGGGGCCACCTGGGAGTCCCGATCTCTGGCCTCCCGGCCGCGCACATTCTTGCTACCGCTTCCCTCCACACCTTTCCTACCGACGGCGCCCCACCTGCCCCGGGCTCAGCCGCAGACTCCCGGCCGTGTCTACCTGCCTGACGGGATTGGACCCTGCAGGGTCTCGTGGCGAAGGGAAAATCTGACAGCAGGGTCTGAACCCTGTCGCGGCATTTCCATACCAGGCTGTTTCCTCGCCACCGTGGGCGGGGCAGGCCGACCTCCCCCGGTGGGAGCGTAGGAAGGAACGTGGCCTCACACTAGGAAGTGGGTATGAAGGGTTTTTGTCTGATTTTCTGGAAGCTAACGAGTCTTTCAGCATCAGGAATATCTGCTTAAATCCATTCCAAATTGTCCCTGTAAATGAATTATTCGTTCTTTTCCAAACCCCATTTGAGCAGTTAGTACACGCCTGGTGTTGGCGGATATAGAACACCACAAAGGTGGAAGCCCTCCCAAATGGCTCCTAAGGAATCCCTTTCATCTGCCTGAGTCGTGCTTGTAAAGCAGACATGCCTCGGTGATCCTCAGATACCTGAAGCAGGAACCGTGCTCCTGTCTGAAACTTCCGAATAGCATATCAACAGGACCTGTTGCTCTGGCCATCAGGAAACACCCCAGAGATATCCCTCAGGGCACTGAGACAGAAAAATATATAAAATGTAATCTCCATTCAACAGATTCCGGGCCAAGCTATTTCTGGTGGTCTTTTTGGATTAGAGACAGTGAGACAGAAGCTACCACAGGAGCAGGGAGAGGAACGCAGTAAGGGCATTACCAGCAAAGCTTTTCTGTGATAGCTTGGAGGCCAGTGGTCTGATAATTTCTACACTCCTCAAGATTACTGAGGATCCCAAAGTGCTTTTGTTTATGTGGGCTGTGTCTGTCAATATTTACTACATATATTGAAATTAAAAGGGAGAGTGTTTTTAACATTTGTTTTCTTATCCATTTTAGATGAGTTTACAACAAACTCATTACCTGTTAACATAAATATCATACATTTTTTGAAAAATAACTATACTTCCCCAAACAAACAGACTTATTGAGAAAAGTGATATTGTTCTGCATACCACTACATACCACACTTCGTGTTTGGAAATCTCTTTAATGACTGACTAAATAGAAGACAGTTGGATGCTCACATCTGTGTCTGCTTCCTTTCTCTTATGATGTAACGTGTCATGTAGCCTCTGAAAAAGTCTACTAAACACTGGGGAGAGAATGAGAATAAAAAAGACATATGAGGTCTTAATAGCATTATAAAAATAGCTTTGATTTCAGGGATCTTTTTAAAGGATCCTGGGGATCCCTCAGGCTCTCATGCTTTGAGGACCCGTTTGTTAAGCTATAAGTGGAGATCTTTATGACTCCCCCCTAACATGAGCATTGAATGAGGTTCCTCTGCACCTATGCATTTTGCAAGGCTTGTGGCCCACCCAAAACAAAGCAAAGGTGTTACTATAGAAAATGTAAGTGACTCGCACACAGAACTATTGTCGGAAGCAGTGTTAAAAGCTATCTCTAAACCTTTTTATTTTTGTTGTCTTTTTCACGTTCTCCCTTATGAACAGAAGGATTTGTGTCCTATTCTATTTTTTGTAGTTTGAGGATCACCATGTGTGCCAAGTCCAATCAGTATAGATGCCCAAAGCTTGTGAACTGAAGCGGGGCGGCCCCGGCCCCTGCAGCGCCTCCCCCTTACTGGACATTCCTGATGTTCACTTTGCTAGTGAGAATATGGACCTGACACTGACACTCCCGGGGATGGTTTCCACACCAAATGTGTTTCCTGATGCGTGGAGAATAAACCACTGGCTCGAAGGCAGAACTTGATTTGAGGATTGTAAAGTTTGTGATTAAAAACAACAGAAACCTGGGGCCGGCCCCATGGCTTAGCGGTTGAGTGTGTGCGCTCTGTTGCTGGCGGCCAGGGTTTGGA